TTGAGAGCATTCAGGGCATTCATTAACGAGGTCATGTGGATGTGTCTAGAAAGTACAGTGATGTTACTGAACACTATGGAATCACAAATAACAACACTGTAAAATAGACCATGAAATTTCTAATCTAATAAACTGATAAATATATGTTGCAAAGAGCAAAAGGGAAAAAGTAGAAACAGGCATTTTCTTGTTCTACAAAATCTTGACATTTTTCAACTCCTTATTTTGATTGATTATTTTTCATCTCAGGTTCATTATAAGAAAGGGACAAAAACATTGGATTCTTCACTTAGATATTTTTACTATGTTCAAACAAGGGGAGAAAGGTGTTAGTAGTGTGTTGCCTTTGTTTATAGGTAGGCTTTGTCTTCTTGAGCCCAGATTATTATCATTTTTTCTTTAGTTAAACTAGCAGATGACCTTGAAGAGCAAAGTTAAATATTTGAAATCATTTTTTTTTTTTAAATTGTTAGTTGGGTGAAGATTTATAGACAAATCCATTTTCCATTCAACAATTCATCCACATTTTGTTTCATGTCACTGATTGCAATCCCAACGTAGCATTACTCATTCTATTTCCTTCGTGTGTTTCTCATTTCCATTCCTTCTTCTTTCTTATCCTTCTTGCCTTTCAAACTTTGTCCTTGGGCATATGCTACCATTTTTATCTCAAATGGTTCATTGTTCTAAGCAGTGTTTACCATCCTGCTGTTACTGTTCACCTTATAGATCTGTCTATTTTATCTGAAAGCTTAGCCACAGAGGTAAGTTCAGTTCCAGGTTTGAAGGATGTTTAAGGGCCAGTCTCGGAGGTTACTCCAGTCTCTATAAGACTAGTAAGCCTGGCCTTTTTTTTTTTTTTTTTTTAATGATTTTTAATTTTGTTCCACATATTTCTCCTATTCCATTATTCCATCCAGGACCTTCTATTGTGATCCCTTTTAGAGCTGTTGATAGTAGTAGCTGAGAATCATCTAGTTCTTCTGATCTCAAGATGATGGAGCTGAGGGTCACGTGGTCCATCAATCTTTTGGATTAATTATTTCCATGCTTGTTTGATTTTCTCCATTCTTCCTTGCTTTGGATGGGGAGAGACCAATTGCCACACCTTAGATGGCTACTTGCTAGCTTTGAAGACTCCAGTCACTACTCACCAAAGTAGGATGTGGAACATTTCTTTGTGAACTGTGTTGTGCCAGTTGACCTTGATGTCCCCTGAGATTATGGTCTTGCGCCTGCAAGCCCAGAGATTCATTCTATCAAGGTATTTCATAATAGATAAGAAGTTTTCATAACTTTGCTCCCAGTATGCTTTAGTATATTCATGGATATATTTGCAGCATAGTAAATACCTATGTAGAAATATCCTCTATCAAAAAGACATATGTTTTCATGGATATAGTCCCCTTAGCTTTCTCATATCTATTCAGCTTGCATGTCTACTTATGTGTTCTCTCATAGATTATTGTCATTATTATTATTGAAGGGTAACATTGAACTTTCAATGTTGATGGACTACTTTTTTTTCAGTATTGCAATTTTCCCAACTATGGAGTGATGTGTTTAAAAATAATCAGCTTTGTTTATTCCCAAATCTATTTATACCAGTTATATGGGTTATATCTGTTATAACTAGAGATCGCATGATAGAATTTTGTAACACCAATGAATAATTCCTTGCAAATGCATTTTTTCAACAACATAAATGGTGACTATACACGTAAATCTCACTGCATGGAATACAAATCAACCACATCTGTGGGAAGAGATGATGATGAAGCTCAAAATCATCAGTCAGAACAAGACCTGGGGCCAACTGTAAAACAGACAATTGTTCATATGAATGTTCAAGTTGAAGCTGAAGAAAATGAAAAGAGGCAAAGTGTGACTTTGATTATATCCAAATTGAATTTAGAGACCATCTCAAGAACAGATTTGACACACTGAACACTAATGACTGAACACCAGATGAGCTGTGGGGACTTCATACATGAAGAAAGCAAAAGCCTATTAAAAAGATAGGAAAGGAAGAGAAGACCAAAATGGATGTTAGAAGAGACTCTGAAGCTTGCTTCTGAAATAGAGTAGCTAAAATGAGTGGAAGAAATGACAAAGCAAAAAAGGTGAAAACATTTCAAATGGCAGCTTGAGATGACAAAATAAAATATAATAAATATGCAAACACTTAAAGTTAGGGAAAAAAGAGAAGAATATGCTCAGTGTTTCTCAAGCTGAAAGAACTGAGGAAATGATTCAAACCTCAGTAGCAATACTTGGAAGGAAGGAATCCACGGGCATGTACAGAGTCACCAAAAAGAATTGGTCAGAATTCAACCATTTCAAGAGGTAGCATGTAAGATTTAAGAACTGGTTGTATAGAAGGAAGAAATCCAAGTTTCATTAAGCACACCAGCGAAAAACAAGGCTCCAGAAAATGATGAAGAAAACATTGAAGTTGTCAAGGATTTCATTTTATTTGCATCCACAATCAATGCCCATTGAAACAGCAGTTAAGAAATCAAATGCCATATTTCATTGGGCAAATCTACTACAAAAGAAGTATTAAAAGCAAAGATGTCATTTTGAGGACTAAAGTGCGCCTGCCCTCAAAACTCATCCACTGCCGCTGAGTCTATTCCTACTCAAAGCGATCCCGATTGGTGCTAAGTTTTTATGGAAATAAGTTGCTCTTTCTTCCTTCTGCAGAACAGCTAATTGGTTTGAACTGCCAACCTTCTGGTTAGTAGTCAAATGCCTTAGGCACTGTGCCACCAGAGCTCCTAGAACCCTAAGCCTCAGTATTTTCAATTACTCTATGCATGTGAAAGCTGAGCAATGAATAAAGAAGATTGAAGAAGAATTGATGCCTCTAAACTATGGTGTTGGCAAATAATATTGAATATACCATAGACAGCTAGAAGATCAAACAGATCTGTCTTGGAAAAAATACAGTCAGAGTACTCCTTACAAGTTAAGATGGCATGGACTTTGTACATATTATCAGGAAGGTCTAGTCCCTAGAGAAGGACATCATGCTTAGTAAAATAGAGGGTCAGCAAATTAGAAGAAGGCCCTCAATGAAATAGATTGCCACAGTAGGTGCAACAATGGGCTCAGACATAGTAATGATCATGAGGATGGCTCAAGAGCAGACAGTGTTTTGTTCTGCTGTACATAGGGTCTCTAGGAGTTGGAACTGACTCGGCAGCACTTAACAACAATAACAACATACGTATTGTTGTGTAAGTTGAATAAATATCAAATAAATTAACACAGTAAAGGAGGAAAAAAGGAGTTATTCGTATGACAACTAATTTGAAAACTTTGAACAATTAAATATTTGTTTGGAATTAGTTGTGGATAAGACTTCTTTTAAAATTAAGGAATACACACACACACACACACACATATACCAAACCAGACCAAACCAAATGTCCTGCTGTCATCGAGTCGGATCTGACTCATAGCGACCCCACCTTGGGTTTCCGAGGTGATATCACCACGGAAGCAGATTGCCCAACCTTCCTTCTGAGGAGTGGCTGGT